TGCGCCCAGAGGGCCGGTGGGCGGAGGCGTTCATCGGCAGTGCGGCGAGCTCGGCTCCTGCCTCGTCGGCCCCACGCCCGCAGCCACGCGGATCCATGTGGCGCAGGCCACCTTGTTGTGGATCCCCTTGCTGGGGACCAGGGGCCGACCTGGCGAGGTGCCGGGCCCCCGCGCTCGGCGAGCGTTCGCGGCGCGCGGGGCCCGCGGCCTGCACGCCAGAGTGGGCGGCGAGGAGGGGAGGGCGCGGCTGCCTCGTCGCGTGCACCAGGCGCAGGCTGGAGCGACCGCGCGGCGCCCTTCCCCCGTGGGCTCCCGTGGGCACCAGCTCACTCGGCCGCCACAGGCGCCGAGAGGAGACCGTGCTGGGCCAGCTTCCCACCGCCACCGCAGGCAGGGCGGCAGGCAGGACGAGGGAGAATGGAGGATGGGGAGGTCCTCCTCCTCCTCCTCCTCCTCCTCCTCCTCCTCCTCCTCCTCCTCCTCCTCCTCCTCCTCGTGCCGATGCTAGTGGTGGTGAGAAAGCGGCGCATCAGACTGGTGATCGTGGGCGCCCCGGCCAGGCCGATGCTCGGGGGCAGCCGAGCCACGTGGCAGGCGGCAGGCAGCCCGCGCCGCCCGCCGGCCCCCCCCCCTGCGTGGTCTCCGGCTCGGCGGGGGCCAGCAGGGCGGCGAGGCAGGGCGACGGCCACAGGAGGGGCCCAGGAGCCTGCGGACGATCACCAAGCGCGTTCCACTGTTCGCACGGTGCCCACATCGCAAACGTCGGGAACAGCAACACGGGCCTGCATCGATGCAGTGCAGCGTGCATCGCCCATGGCGGATCCGGGCCGTTTGCGAGCAGTTACTTTGCGAGTAGTGCAGCGCGCTTGGCTATACGAGAAGGCCCCCGAAAGCCTGACAAGTACCGCTGCCAGGGTTCGGTCGCAAATCATGGGAGCCTGGTACACCCTCTGCATTCCGTCTTGAGCGTCGACTAGCGTCGATTAGCGTCTGAGAGTCGATGACAGCGCCGCGTTAGCGTCGGTTAGTGTCGATTGACGTCGATTCCGCATCGACTAGCATCGATTCGCAAGAGCCGACAAGATGATCTGGAAGGCTCCCATTCGTTGCCACCGAACGGATCTAGGCCTCCTAGATGGGGGCCGAATAAATGGGGTCGGAGGGTTGCTGCGCATCGCCGATGCGTCGGCGATGCGGCTCGATGCGGAGCCCGATCTGCTTCACGTTGACGTCGCCGATGCATCGCCCACGTCGCCAGAGCATCGCCGATGCGTTGGGATCCTCCGACCCCATCTGCTCGCACCCCATCTGTGGGGCCTCCAACGAAGTGGCTTGCTTTCGAGGAGGCCCGGCGCAGCCCTGGCCGCTCGACGACCCCCGAAGCGCCCCCCCGCGGAAATCGCCGGGAGGGCAGGCCTCGCGTAATCTTCGAGCAGCGGGGAACATCCAGGGCTCTCCTGGCGCGACCTCAGCAAGGCCTCCGCGGCGTCCGGCGTCGGGCCCGAGAGGAGCCGACGGGAGCCGCTGCCGCGGCAGCGGTGGCCGCGGATGGCAGGAGTGCGAGGCGGGGGCTGCGGGAAGCGGGGCCGACCCCGGCCCCGACGACGGCCTGTGCGTGGAAGGGCACGGGTGGCCTTTAGCGTGGACCTCGGCGGTGCGCTCGAGATGCGCCTGTGCGAGCGCTCGGTCGGGGTGCAGACCAGTGGCCCACGACCATCCATATAGGGAGCAGCAAATGACCTGAACACAAAAGCTCGGAGGTCCGCGCGGATTTCTCGGATCGGCGCTGGGGCCCCCCGGCGGCGCCTCCGGCGCCGCCCCTGGCGCGCTCCGCGCGCCAGGGAGGGGGGTCCAGCGCCGATCCGAGAAATCCGCGCGGACCTCCGAGCTGTTATGTTCAGGTCACTTTCTGTTTCCCTAATCCAGCACATGCTCGAGACAAAGGGCACGCTTGCTGCCGACGAAGTGTGCCGACAGCGCGAGGCTCCGCAGGACATCCGTGTTTGTGTGTGCTTCCGTGCACGTGCAATCTGTCATCTGCATGCGAGTGTGGTGCTGCGCTGCGCTGCAGGATGACGAGCATGGCAAGCGCAGGCCATCGCTGTCTCCATGACCCGACTCAGAGCATGAGCACAGGCCTGCGCCGTGATCCGGAACCCTGGCCAGGGCAGAGGCGCCAAATCTGCACGCGACCGCAATCAGGCTGCAGCCCCTGGCCGTCCTCCTCGCGCGAGGGAGCCGCCCGCGAGGGGTATGGGGAAGAGGGTCAGGGGAGCGCCACGCGCCGTTGGCGGAGGAGACTCTGAGACTCTGCCTGATCGCGTAGCGATATCGCCGTTGGCGGAGGAGGAGAAGGATCTGGAGGAGGAGGAGGAGGAGGAGGAGGAGGGAAGGAAAGCATAGGGAGAGGAAATGGGAGGTGAGGGGGGCACTTCCCCCTCCCCCCTCCCTCCTCCCCCTCCTCCTCCTCCTCCTCCTCCTCCTCCTCTTCCATTCCGTGTCCTTGTCCTGATGAATAACTCTTCCCTGGCGCACCCCGCGGCCGGTCAGAAGGGCGGGCGGGACATTTCGCCTGAGATGTGTCTCCCATGTATGAGCCTGAAGTTTGGAAGCTGGCAAAAGTTCCTCAGATGCAGGGCTGGTCGCTTTCATAATGTGGCTCTAGCCTTAGCGCCGCGCACATTCGTTCAAAGTTATCCTCGCGAAGGGCCCAACCACATGCGGTTGTAGGTACCGTCGTCGTGAGCATCGCCTTCAGTGGAGCTCCCCTTCGGGCCGCGAAACGCGTGAGGAGTGTGCCGAAATAGGTGGGACGGCCGCATGCGAACATGGCCACTGGGGCCTTCGGTGAGGGCGACTACCCATGTATGGGGTATTCCGGGACGGGTGGGGGAGATGCATGCGAACGGTTTCGCTTGGACCTTCGGTGGAGCTCCCTATGGCGCCACGAATTGTGTGAGGGGTGTGCCGAAAGGGCTGGGGAGAAATGCATGTGGACACCACCACAGGGGCTTTCGGTCGAATTCCCTGTAACCGTATTCGGGGTGTTCCGACATGGGTGGAGGGGCGCATGCGAATGGTGCCACTGGTACCTTCGGTGCGGCTCCCTGTGGGGTCACGCACCGTGTGAGGAGTGTGCCGACATGCGTGGCGATGATCGTGATGATGACGGCGATGGTGATGACGATGGTGGTGGTGGTGACGGCGATAATGACGATGATGATGATGGTGACGGCGATGCTGATGAAGACGACGATGTTGATGGTGATGCTGATGCTGATGCTGGTGCTGGTGCTGGCGCTGGTGCTGATAATGCTGTGAGGGTGATGGCGATGGCGATGTTGATCATGGTGATGATGATGATGATGATGATGATGATGATGATGATGATGATGATGACGATGATGATGATGATGATGGTGATGATGATGATGCTCATGATGATGATGCTGCTGATGATGATGATTATGATGACGACGATGATGATGACGATGTTGCTTATGATAGTGATTATGATTATGGGTATGGTTATGGCGATGATGATGGGCATGATGCTGATGTTGATGACGATGATGATGTTGGTGATGCTGATGCTGGTGATGCTGATGCTGATGCCGATGCTGATGCTGCTGCTGCTGCTGCTGATGATGATGATGATGATGATGATGATGATTGCAATGACGACGACGATGATGGTGATGATGATATTGATGCTGATTACGACGATGGGGCTGATGTTGATGCTGACGATGACGATGATGATGATGATGATGATGATGATGATGATGATGATGATGATGATGATGATGATACTGATACTGATACTGATACTGATGATGCTGCTGCTGATTGCGGTGGTGATGCTGATGATGATGCGGATGATGTTTTTGGTGATGGAGCAGGGAGGAAGGGGGAGGAGGAGGAGGAGAGGAGAATGAGAACGCGGGGCGCTGTCGCTTCAAAACGAGGACCCAACACCACAGGATGGTTGGGGAAAACTGCAAGAGTTCTACGGGTTGAGAGCGGGTCGTTTTCAAACTGTGTTTCTCGCCGGAGCGCCGCGCATATTCGCCTTAGCCATTTGCAAGGGTTTCGCGGATGGAGGGCGGTTCGTTTTCAAAATGAGGTTCTCGTTGTAGCGCAGCGCGCATTCGTGTTAAATCATTGGAAGGGCCTCACGGGCTGAAGTCGGCTCGTGTTCGAAATGTTGCTCTCGCTTCAGCGCCGCGCACATTCGTTTGACACTCTGCAGTGGTTTGACGGATTCAGGGCGAGTCGTTTTCAAAATGTGGTTCTCTCCTTAGAGTCGCGCACACTCGTGCTCAACAACGTGGGAGTTTCGCAGGTTGAGGGCGGTGTTTTTTCAACATGTGGTTCTCGCTTCAGCGCCGTGCACATTCGTTTCAACATGTGCAAAAGTCGCGCGGATTATCATCTTAGCCTTCAGAAACAGCTTTTTGGAACGATTCAGGATTGTCAGGGCGTAACAGTCACGTTGGTTCGCGGTGTTGACGTCCCAGGAACGGTGTTTTGGCACGATGCAGGACCATCAAGACGCAAACATCAGGTTGATTTGTGGCGTTGAGGTCATGCAAATGTACTTTTGGCACGCTTCAGAATTTGTACACAGTAGCCTCCCAACGGGGCATTCCCCTCAGTGGCTATAAAGAGGGAGCTTGGAGGGAGGGTGTGTCCCAACAACGTTGAGTCTTGGGTTTGCACTGGTCCTCCTCCTCATCCTCCTCCTCCTCCTTGTCCTTGTCCTTGTCCTTGTCATCCTCCTCCTCCTCCTCATGCCTTCTCCTCCTCCTCCTCCTCCTCCTCCTCCTCCTCCTCCTCCTCCTCCTCCTCCTCGTCCTGCTCCTGGCGGCGCGCCAGGGGGAAAAGGCAGAGGCGGCTGGCCTTCTCGTGCGCCCTGCCCCCCGCTCGCTTCCCCCCTCGGCGCGCCGCCGATCCTTCCCCCCCCCAGGGCGGCTCGCGCGTCGCGCTGCCACGCTGAGGTGCTGACGAGGAGGCAGAGACCCCGCCGGCGGCGGCGACCTCACGGCGCCAAGCGCCGACAGCCGCCGCAGAGGCACGACGTCAATGTTGGCGGGAGGAGGAGGGGGAGGAGGAGAAGGAGGAGAAGGAGGAGAAGGAGGATGAGGAGGTGGATCGGGGGAGGAGGAGGAGGAGCATCGGCAGCAGGCATGAGAAGGAGCAGGGGGAGGATGATTAGGACGAAAAGGAGGCGGAGGAGGTGGAGGAGGAGGCGGAGGATCAGCAGGAGCAGGAGCAAGAGCAGGAGCAGGAGCAGGTGCAGAACGAAAAGGGGGTACTGGCCCTCGAGGTTTCGCGCGAGGACAGCACGGCCCTCTTGGCGGGGGGATCCAGGGCACTTGCGCTTCGGGCCACGCCCCAGCACCGAGACGAAGGCGCCGAAGGAGTGCTCGCGCCACTCCCTCGCAGCGTGCGGGGCGTGCACGGTGCCGCCGCCCATGCGCCGCTCGCCACGCACAGCCGCCAGCGCCGCGGGGACGGACCAGCACACGGCGTGGCGCAGAAGTCGATGCGGGCCACGCCCGCACACGTCTGGCGCTGTGCGCAATGCCCCCTCTGGCCAGTTTTGACCATGCTGCGGCTGGAAGCGGCCAGGGCGGCCGCCTGAAGGTCAGCCCGTTGCTGCCGCTGCCCGCCAAGGCCACTCCTCGTCCCAGGGGTCGACGTCCCGAGCGGGCCCAGCAGCGCACGCCGCGCGCGGGTCCTGACTGTGGCGGTCATGGCGTCGTGGGTGTCGGTGTCCTGGGATGGGCCGCAAGACCGTCGCCCAGGCCGCATCAGCAGCCAGTCCCGCCAGCGCGTCCGCACAGGCACCGCTCTGGGCGGCCTCGATGTCCACGACATCGTGGGGCTCGTCGTGCTGGGGGCAGGAGTCCAGGTCACCCGCACTCGCCCCGGTCCCCGGGAGGCCAGGGCGCAGCGGAGCCTCGCCCAGTCCCGGAGGTTGGCGTTGCGGCAGGTGCCGCCAACCCTCGCACGGCCTGCGTTCCAGGCGCAGACCAGCGGCTGGTTGTCCGTCCGTCGTGGCCTCTGGGCCGAGCGCCAGTCATGGCTAGTCCCGCGCCTGGCACCGTCTGCCGTCGCCCTGGGATGACCGACGAGAGGCCCGCAGCGATCTCCTCCCCTCGCGCCTTCCGCTCTCCCTGTTCCTTCCCCGACCTCCCGAGGGCGTGGGAGACCTCCCCCGAGCTCGTGGGCCCCAGGGCTCCTGACCTCACTGCCCTGAGCCGGAAGTTAGCCCCATGTTGTTATTTGATGGGGCCATGGCCCATGGCCCATGGCCCGACACGGGCCTCCAGAAACCCAAATTCTGTACGCTTCGCGTATCACCACCAGTACCCGCCGCCGCCGGCGCTTCCGCCTGCGGCTGTAAAAAAAAATGTATCACCACTAGTTATCTGCTGTCTGAGCCCCAGTCGATAATCCCGCTTCATGACCTCTGTCTTGGAGCCGCCAACCAGAAAAGTATCACCACCAGCGCCTTAGGTAATTCGTCTTTGCGCGGCCCGCTCTGACTCTACTCGCAGTTTGCGCTTTGACTTGCGGCTGCTGACTAAAAAGTATCACCACCAGGAAAGTGCCGCCTTCAGCTGCTCCCTGGTACTGATTCGCCGACCAGCAGTGGGCCACAGCGGGCCACACGGTATGGGGGCGTCACGCCTCCCTGCCCGGAGGGCGAGCTCACCAGTTGACAGTAATCTCGCGGGGGTCTTTCACTGCGGCGACGGGCGAGGCGACACACGCTCCAGCACTTGGTGAGGGTTCCTCTGTACTCGGCAAATCAGTGGCCGTTAGTCACTCCCTGGTAGCGCACTCTGCCCAGCTCCCGCTGTCCCCCGCCTTTGGGATTCCGGCAGCGGCCAGCTGATAATATTGGCTCGTGGACTACCGCTGGGGCCGGGGTCCACCTGTCCCACCTGCCCTCCAACACTGCGGGTCCGCCCGCCCGCCCGTGTTTCACACTAGACGCAGCTTGCCGCGCATGGACGCGTTGGTCGTTGTAGCCCCTGGCCCTGCTGTAGCTGTTTTCACCACACCAGCGCGCTCCACTCCCCGTGCCCCCTGGTTCCCACCGTGTTGGGGCGGCTCTCCCCCCGCGGTTGGGCTACGTGCCTCGCTCCTCCCTTCCTTCCCGCTCCTGTGGCTCTGCCCTTCCCTGGGGCTTGGGGCTCCCGAGCGCTGTGCGCTCCCGGTTGCCGGCCGACCGTGTCGATTTGCCCATGGTCCGTGGCGGCATCGCCCACGGCCACCTCTTGCTACCTCGATTCGGCGATGAGGCGTGGATCTCTTTCATCATTTGCTCGCGCCGTTGTCTCTTGCGTCGGGCGCGCCGTCTCTACCCGTGCTTTTCGGAAATGTAGGTGGGGGGGCGCCGCGCCGCTGTCGCGTCGCGAGGCAGCGGCGCCTGGAGCCCGGGGGGCCCGTCGACGGAGGCATCGGGCGGCCAGATGGGATTCGATCACCAGTGAGCCAGCAGTGAGGAACAAAGCACGTGGGCCTGATCGCCCGTGCCCATGGAGTCCTGCCCCCATAGGCTCGCCGCGGGCGTCTCGCCTATAAGGTGCCGATGCCCATGGGGTCCTCGCCCAATCCTCGTCCTCGTCATCGCCGTCTCCATCGCCGCCATCATCGCCATCGAAGACGAGGGTAGCGATGGCCCTCTCTCCCAAAGTCTCAGCAGTGACGACCGCAGCGACCGCTGTGATCACGACGGCGCGGACCAGCCAATACCCTTTGACGACCATGAGCAAGCCACCCACGGTCGACAGAATCAGGCCGCCACCAAGCGAGCCCCCCTCACCACCAGGCCAGCTTTTTTTTCCACCATGGTGCGGGGAGCAGCGAACGGCCAGAGACTGCTGTCGGGACAGGGCACGGGGCTCGGCAATCTTCGCGCAGCACCTCTCATCGGAATGGTGGCAGCCATGGGGTTACCGCGAAACGGTCTTCTTCGCTAACATCCACGCGCTGCATCAGGGGACCAATCACCTCGCCCAATCTCGCCAGCACATGCAGGAACAGTCAACTGCCGGGGACGGCCTCCAGCAGGCAGTCCGGCATGCCGCTTAATTCGCAGCGCCCCCCCAGGACGGCCACCAGGCTCTCTTCGCTGCCCAACGCGCGGCACACCAGTGCTGGCGCCCTTCCTCTCCCTGTGGGCCCCGCGATCTGTTGCCTCCTGTTCCGTTGCCCGCTTTCTGGGCCGCCGCGGGGGGTGCCTCACGGTGGCGCCGCCTTTTTCTGGGCGCCGTATCACGCATGCCAAGGCGTGTGCAGCCGGCGTCTCTCTGTCCGCGGCTGTGCCGAACGGGCGAGCCTCGCCCTTGTCGCAGATTCCCGTCTCTGCTTTCCAGTCGGGGCCCCCGCAGACCGCGCCAGGCGGGAGGGTAGTCTTCCCGCCCTTGCTCGCACCAAAGGCAATCTCCCCGCCGCGCGAGGTGGGCGCGGTGGGCGCCAGTACCCCGCGAGCCCTGACGGACACGCCGCCCGAGTTGCTGCGATCTCTTTTGCCCGTTCCCGCTGGGGCCTGGCTTCCATGCGCGGGCCGCGCCACTCCTGGAGTCTTTCGGGTTGACCAAAATAGGGTCCAGCTGCAAAGAGGTGGTGCAATAGAACAGGTGCCCAAAAATTGTGGGTTGCACGAAGTTTGGGGCGGGCAATACCTTCCGGCAAATGTGTTGGTGAATGCTCGCGTGCAGTACAGCATTTGCAGCACAGTGCAGTACAGCTCTCCGGCGCGAGAATTGGCAACACACTTGCCCTAGTTGGATCCCCTATTGGGCCACCTGAAATCTTGAGCCCGCGATCTCCCGCTCCCGCTCCTGGCGCCATCCGTTGGCCGGCGCACCTCGGCGGCTCACCCCCGATGGCGCTCGGGCCACACAGCTCGGGCCTCTCCGGCCCCCGCTCGGGGCGGCCTGCGCACCCCTTTTTGGACGCCCTCGGCGAGGCGCAGTTGCTGACCCGCGCCCCGACATTGGAGAACCAACGTGCGCAGCCTTTTCGAGGAAGAGGAGGAGGAGGAGGAGGAGGAGGAGGAGGAGGAGGAGGAGGAGGAGGAGGAGGAACAGGACAAAGAAAAGAAGAAGGTGGAGGAGGAGGGGGCAGAAGAGGACGACGAGGAGAAGGAGGAGGAGTGGGAGGTCCTCGCCTCGTAGTGGGGGCTGCCGCGTCTTGCGACGACAAAAGAATCCCTGCCGCCGCCCCCTGGCCGCGCCCCCCCCGTCGGGCGCAGGCCCTGCGGGCGGCCGTCGCGGGAGCGGCGGCAATGACGAAGAAGAGGCGGGCCCAGGAGCTGGCCGTGGGAGGGGGGAGGGGGGGAGGGGGGAGGGGTACGGGAACGGGAGGGGAACGGGGAGGGAGGGGGGAGGGGGAGAGCAAGGGAAGGGGGAAGGGGAAGGGGAAGGGGGAGGGGGGGAGGGGGGAGGGATGGGTCTGGCTGAGCACGACATTGGGGCGGTCCTCGTGCCAAGCGGATGGCCAACATATGATCGGACGAGGGAAGGGGGGGAGGAGGCAGGGGAGGGGGGCGAGGAGGACAAGGGGGAGGAGGAGGGGGAAACAGGGAAAGAGGAGGGGGTGGGAGGAAGAAGGAGGATGACGAGGAGAAGCAGGAGGAGGAGGAGGAGGAGGAGGAGGAGGAGGAATTGTTCATGCCAACGGTGGCCCGCAATGTCTGTGCGACCCATCGGACCATGCATGACTGAAGGGAGGTGGGCTCGTCTCGCGGGGAGGACATCAGAAGCTTGGACAAGGAGGCTGAGAATGAGAATGAGGAGCAGGATGCCAAGTTCGGTTTAATATTTCTGGTCCTCGTCCTCCTCTGGTGCCTTCGTCGCCACAGTTGGATTCGCTTCGAAGTCCCAGTGAGAACACGTGCGCAGAGGCACTGCGGCGTCGAGTCTGAAGAGCATCCGTGGCCGACTGCGTGGGTCCCCGTCAGATCGCCAAAGCCTGCCCCATCCGGTATACAGTCGGGGCCCTGAAGAAGGAACCCTTTTCGATGGGGAGGGGCTCCGCGTTCCTTAAGTGTTTCACAGCTTGCCTCGGGCTTTCCTTATGTTTTCGATCGGAAGTCGAAGGTTCACTTATGGCAAAAAGGGGCCTCGTTCCTTATTTCGGGTTCCTTAGGTCGACGCCCCGACGGTAGTCTGCATCCCGGAGCCCTGCCGCGGCAGCTCTGCGTTCGGCGTTCGGCCGAGTCTGTGTGCGTGCGGGGCCGCCGTGGGTCGACCGAGTCCTCAGTCCGACTTGTGGCCGCGAGGTGTCCAGCAGGCAGGGCACGCGTTGCGACTCGGTTGGCTTAGAGATTGTTTGAAGTTTTTGGGGAGGTTGAGTTTTCTGCTGAAGATTTTCCGAAGATGTCGGCTGGTCTTCTCGATGGAACTCCTGTGGTATGACTGCCGAGCCTGAATCAAGGCATCGCATGTTCGGGCCTCCTGCTCCTCCTCCTCCTCCCTCCCCCCCCTTGTTGCGCGCGTTGGACATTGCTAGATATCGGATGGGAGACAGACGTCGGGCGAAAGGGATTCCACCACACGCACCATTTGGCAGGTTGGCAAGGGACGCGAGGTCTGCCACAGCGGGCGCCGACCTGTGCGAATGGGGCACGAGACAGGTGCCGGGTGAGGCGAGCCAGCGATCCACGATGTCCCGCAGGGAGCGCAGTGATGTCGGAGAGGCACATCGGTGTGTTGGCTCAGGCTGTGCAGGATCTGCTGTCTTATCCACTCACCACGATGCGGCCCCCCATGAGGACGAAGACATTGCAGAGACGGCAGAGCACAAATCTGCCTCCGAAGCAGACTCCGGCGCAAAGAGGAAACGTGATGCTGGCCCCAAGAAGAAGAAGGACGCTCGCAAGTTTTGTTGGAATTGCCCACATGCTCTGCGTCCGCGCCTCCATGAGACTGTCCGCCTCCATCACGTCTCTCTCACGGTGAGCTGCAGTAGTCGCCGACATCCCGCCCCCCCTCAGTACAGTCAACCATGATGGTAAGGATGGGGCAACTTTCCAGGGCTACCCTTGCATCCTTACCCCTTCGGTATTCGGCATCCTTCGGAATTCTGCTGCTCTCCGCACGGCAAACGTCAGCATGGCGTTCCAAGGCCCCTTGCATCCTTACCGCGCATCCTCACTATTGAGTGTACCCTGGTCGAGTGTAGTCGCCGACATCACACCCCCCGTCGGTACAGTCGGGGCCCTGAAGAAGGAACCCTTTTCGTTGGGGAGGGGCTCCGCGTTCCTTCAGGGTTTCACAGCTTGCCTCGGGCTTTCCTTCTGTCTTCGATGGGAAGTCGAAGGTTCACTTATGGCAAAAAGGGGCCTCGTTCCTTAGCTAGGGTTCCTTAGGTCGACGCACCGACGGTAGTGTGCATCCCGGAGCCCTGCCGCGGCAGCTCTGTGTGGGCGCTCTGTGCGACGTGGAGGTCGGCAGAGGCTACGTCACGTTGACGCCGCCGCCCCGTGGGCGCCTCGTGGGCGCCCCGCGCTTGGGGGGGGGTCTGCCGAGGTTACGTCACGTTGAGGCCCGTGTCTCCTCGCGGGCGCCTCTTGAGCGCCTCGCTCGCTGGGGGTATGCCGAGGGCGCGCCAAGGTGCCGCCCGTGCCGCCTCGTGGGCGCCCCGTGCTCTGAGCTTACGCGACATGGCATTCACCACATAGCTTACACCGCCCTGCGTCCCTCCGAGTCCCGTCATCACCACCTGCCCTATTTGCCTCCCCTGGCTCTCTGCTGGCACGCCGCCGCCATCCGCTGGCCACGGGCCTCGCCCGGCCCCCGAGCGCGCTGCGCCTCGCGCGGCTGGCCCATCCTGCTGGGCATCAAGGCTTCGGCCTGGGCCTTTTACAGTCGCGCCCCCCAGATTAAGAAGACTGATGAGCAGAATCGTGAGAGTAGTGATACCACTAAGAATAATCCTCGTAATCTTAACAATGATACGAATCGCAATAATAATTATAACAATAATGACAATAATGACGATACTAACAATGATAGTAATAATGATATGAATAAACATGATAATAATTTAGTAATACTAATATTGTCAATCCCCCCAAAGCGCTGCGCGTTGCCGCCGGAGCCTACCCCTTGACAGCCAGAGAGAGCTCATCGTTACCACCCGCTCCGGCCAACCCCAGGCCCGCGCCCCAAGGCAGGTCGTTGCTGCCGAGCCCTCTTGGCTTCCATCCCGTGCCCTGCTCCCAGCTGGCCCCACTCTGCACCCTCCCAGGTTACCGCCGCCACCGGTCCCGCACAGTCTCGTCCTCTTGCCTTGCGCCTTCCAGTGTTCTGTGACTGGCCCCGCCCAGCCACATGCGAGGTGCCCCCAAAGCCTATCGCAGCTTCTGGCCCCGCCCCACCTCCGTCCGTTGCCCTGCGCGGCCCACGCGCAGGCATCATGCTGGTGTTGTCGTCGTGCGCGTGTCCGAAATCGGGTTGCCTCATGAATCGTTCTCTGACTCTTACGGTCACCCGCGGGCGCACGTCTTTTGTGAAGAGTTCGGAACATACGTCGCATCAGCTCCCGAGCTCTCTGGGGCCACACTACCGCTCGGGCCTCGAGCGGCCGTTCAGGACGACCCCGCTTTCACCAGAGGTTTCTCGACCAGAGCTGCCCGGGCCCGAGGGCACCACTCAGCAGCTTGCAGGGCACCTCTCGGCCAGCTCTCGCTCTCCTCGCAGAGCGCTTTGCTCTCGCGATTCGTGGCTGCGGGATGGCACCTTGGGTCCCGACGGGCTCCAAGAACCGCCGCCGCCCACGCAGCCCCGAAGGCCTCGGGTCACATATCCCGTTTCCACTGGAGGAGGGGCAGCGGATCGAGGGGGGGATCGGGGGCAACGCAGTGGGGGATGCATCGACCCCCAGTCGCCCATTGATCACCGATAGGGGCCCGATAGTCCAACCCAGCCCAGGAATGTGCGGATTTGCGATCGGGGGCCTATCGCCGATCGTCGATTTTTCGGCCATGTATCCTCGACCCAAGCTCGATATTTCCCCGCTGAGCTGGTCCTCCCTAGCGTTGCCGCTCGGAGGAAGAAGGAGGAGGAGAAGGAGGAGGAGGAGGAGGAGGGAGGAGGAGGAGGAGGAGGAGGAGGAGGAGAGGAGGAGGAGAAGAAGGAGGAGGGGGAGGAGGGGAGGAGGAGGAAGAGGAGGAGGAGGAGAAGGGAGAGGAGGAGAAGTAGGTGGAGGAGGAGGAGAAAGGAGGAGGAGGAGGAGGAGGAGGAGGAGGGGCGCGAGGAGCAGCAGGAGGAGGCGAGCAGGGAGCAGCAGGAGGAGGCAACTGGTTCTCGTGCACCCGCCGAGGGAGCAGCAGGAGGAGGAGGAGGGGAGGGAGGAGCAGGAGGAGGAGGAGGAGGAGGAGGCGGAGAGGAGGAGGAGGAGGAGGAGGAGGAGGGGGAGGAGGAGGAGGAGGAGGAGTGCTGCACAGGTCGGCGATGGCTCCGGAGAGGCGGTGCAGCCCATGAAGAGAAACATGTGCGGGGAGTTCCTCGGACGTCGTGCCCGGCGCGACATCTCACGGACAGTGGAGCCAGCGCCTGTGCAGAAGCCGGTGGCGCCCCCAGACGAACGCCACGGGCCAGCGAGATCCCCACGGAGGCGAGAGGCCCGCCGGCGTCCGCCGACGTCCTCCGTGAAGCCGCGGAATTGATAGGCCCCGGTCGGCGCACCCTCTCGCCTCCGGGGCCCGCCACCGCTGAGCGTCGCGCTGGTCCTGGGGTTGGGCGGTTGGCCGGTACCCGACCACACAGCTCTCCGGACACGCGGTCCGCAGGAGGAGGGCGGGGGGAGGGGGAGGACGACGGGAAGGACGAGCAGGTCGTTGTTGGCGGCGTCGACGGCGGCGTCGGCAGCGGCGTCGGCGTCGACGAGCCGTCCCCTCCCGCAGAAGCCGGCGCGCGCCCGGAGCCCCAGCAGCTCGCCCTCCAGCGCGGGGGCGCCCGCGGCAGCGCGCCGCGGCCGGCGGCGGCCTGCCGCGGCGGAGGGTAGCGGAGGCTCGAGCGAGGACGGGGCCCCGCCCAGGAAGCCTCGATCTTCCATCCTTCTTCCTCCTCGATCCTCCATCCTCCTCGCCCCCCTCTCATCTCCTCCTCCTCGTCCTCCTCTCCCTCCTCTCCTCTCCCCTTTTGTCCTCTATCCCTCGTCAAATCCTCGTCCTCCTGTGTACTCCTCCTCCTCCTCCTCCTCCTCCTCCTCCTCCTCCTCCTCCTCCTCCTCGTCCTCCTCCTCGTACTCATCGAGTCCCATCCCCTCGTCCCCCTCTCCTCGGTTCCTCCTCCCCTCCTCCTCCTCCTCCTCCTCCTGCTGCTCCCTCGTCGGCGGGTGCACGAGAACCAGTTGCAATCGGATCGAGCTGAAACGGACAGCACGGGAAATGGCGTACAGTTCGACCGAGCTTGAAGGACGGTGTGCAATTTCTGAAAACATCAGGGGCCATGCGTTGACTCATTGGCGCTTGCGCTTTGGTGGTAGGTTCGTCTGAGTTGACCGTTCGATGCCCACGCGGTGTCACTGGCGGGCCAGGCCTGCACGCCGCGCGCCTACTGTCTATGGCGGGATGTCTCCAAGCCAGCGACGGGAACATCTTGTACACGCCATCTTAACTTTGACCTGACGTTACCTCCTCCTCCTCCTCCTCCACCTACCTTTTTCTCGGTTCCTCATCCCCCACCTCCTCCTCCCCTCCTCGATCCTCTTTTCCTCGTCCCCCTCTCCTCGGTCCCTCCTCATCCTCCTCCGTTCCTCCTTTCCTTCACCCTCACCCGTCCTATGTCCTCGGCAGTGGGGTCCTGTCATGCCACTCGGGCGACCTCATCAGCGCGTTGCCGCCGAAATGGAGCCAGGTTTTGCGCGCGAAAGGCGAATGAGTAACACGCACAGCTTGAGAGACAGCGCGCGTGTCACTGACACTCTTCATCCCTCCCGATCGCTGTCGTTGCCTGTCCCCCGCCGTCGTCTTCGTCGCCGTCGTCGCCGCCGCCGCCATCGTGTGTCTCATGCGTATGACAGATCCGGGGCATTTACTTGCACTGCGGCCCACTCCTTTCCTGGGCGCCGTGAGCGTCAGACTTCCCCCTGGCGGGAGCGAGTCTCGAGCCTGCCTGCGAAATGCCATTTCCCCACATGCCGACCGGGCGGCCGCCACGACGCGCCACGCCGTGGCACCGCCCGCCGCCGCCTGCGGGCCTCGCCCGCGAGCCCCCCCCCCGAGGACGCGGAGGCGGAGGGGGCCGCGCCTCGCTCCTCCAAGGCGGCCAGCGGCGGGGAGGGTCGTTTTGTGGCCCTCCTGCCAGTTGGCATGCCGCTCGGCCTCTGCTCCGTCGTCGTCGCCGGCCGCCAGCGCCGCCTCTTCTCTGCCCCCGCCCCCCCCCCCCCCCGAGTCCTCCAGGCGGGACGAGGAGGTCGAGGAGGAGGAGGAGGAGGAGGAGGAGGAGGACAGAGGAGGAAAAGGAGGAGGAACAGGAGGAGGGGATCCTTCTCCCTCCGTCGCCGTCGTCCCGCTCTCCCCCCCTTCCTGCTCCTGCCTCCCTCCTCTCTGCCCGCCCCCCCCCAAGGACGGGACGAACGGGCAGGAGGAGGAGGGGGAGGACGAGATCATCCTCCCCTCCTGGCAGCCTGCTCGGACAGATAGAGAGCTACACTTTGGGCGAGTGGATTAGTTTCTCTCGCGGAACCCGAAATTTCAAAATTTATTTTGGGCTATCGTTCCAAAGTTTGTTTTGCCCGCCATTCGAGGGGGGCCATCGCGTTTGTCGGATTTGCGAGGGCCTCGACGTCGCTAGCCAGAGTCGGCGTGGAATCAGAAATAACAACTCGCGATTAGGAGGCGCAGGCGGAGCGCGCATATCTTTTTAAAATCCATGAAACATCGTCACCAGGCGAGTTGCCCTGATCACGGGGGGGGGGCAAAGAGGATGGAGGGATCCAGAACAAGGTCAGAGGTCGTAGCGACCACCAGCGCTCGTGGGACCCATGATGGGCTACAGGAGGAACCCCCAGTGCCCCCAAAACGCCCCACGGGGGCCCCAGACGCCACGACCTCCAGATCGAGACCAGATGTCGTGGCGAGCAGGCGCGCTCCTGGGACCTCCCGAGCGCCCCAGGAAGAATCCGAGACCCCGCCAAGCGCTCCAGGAGACCCCCAAGACGCTACGACTTCAGATTGCGGCTGGAGGTCGTGGAGCGCTCTTGGGGCCCCCAGGGACCTGGTTGCGTGCCCTTGGCTGCAGTTGGGTCCCTTTCGGGCGTCCCTGGGACGTCCAGCCTCCGCCGCCCTGAGGGCGGCTGGGATTTCAGTGGCCCCTGCCCTCCTGACTCTGCGGGGAGGCGCGGCGACGCCCCCGACCTGTACCCTGCCACTTTCGCTAGGTGCCGGTCTATACGTGCTCGCCCCGCTCGAGACATCCAGCGCGTTCAGAACTGCACTTAGCCATGCGCTAGGTGTAGTTCTGTAAGTGTTGGTTTCGCCAGGGACATCCTCACAAAACAGAGCACTCATATAACTACACCTAGCCAGCGGGGCGGGGTACATGTCGGGGGCGCGACTCGCGCTCCCGACGTGTACCGTGCCCCGGCCGCTAAGTGTAGTTCTGTACGTGTCCCCTTTTGGCGAAGCATCGGCTGCCCGTGCTGCCCATCTCCGAGGCCCCGTCCCCAGGGCCGCTCCCCGCCGACTTCCCACTTCCTCAGGCTCAGCGAAACCACCTGCATGGCCGCTGTCCTTTTCCGCCTCGCACTGCCCGCTGCCCTTCCCCGCCTCTGCCCCAGCATGATGACCCCAGTGTTTTCTGTGCTTTGGGGCGCCGCTTTGCCTCAGGCGTGATCTCCTCCCTCGTCTCGTGTCTCCGTGCCTTAGCAGCCTCTTTCATTATGTCCTTCCACTTCCACCTCATCCCCGTGTCTCGCCAAGTTTTGTAGCCGCGATCGGTTCTACGCGTGCCGTAAGTAAATGCCTGGCCAGACCCCCCACGCCTGCGAATTCTTTTCCGTGCTGGACCCCCCCTCCACGGATGAAGCGGCAGTTCGCGTTATCATTTCCTGTTGCAGCAGCCGCTTAGCCCCGCCGTGAAACATGCTGATAGTTGCAACGCTTGGCGCCCCACGTGTTTCGCATGACCAGCGCTCCCCGTCGTAGGTCGCGAGGCGGTGCCCGTCCACCCAGACCGACCAGCGCGCCTCACCGAATTTTGATTGCCCCCCCTGGTCCCCGCAACTGGGTGGAGTTTTGCTAAGTGTAGTTTTTGATGTGTTCGACCTGCACGCACATGGGGCGCTTGCCAACATCTTGGCCACGCTCTGTGACCTTCTGGGTGCACGCCGTGTTCGGCGCTCGGGCGAACGTGCCGCCTCCGCCACCCAGATCTTGGGTCCCTACCAGACAGGGGAGAGTTCATCTTTCGATTTTCTGTATGCGTTTTGCACTGACAGTAATTCTTCCCAGCCATCATGGGTTGTTGGAACCTCTTTTTGAAGACACAGCGCGCCGCGCCACCTCTTTCCGGCCCTCCACCTCCTCTCCCGCGTCTCTGCTTCGGCACACATTTTTTCTTTACAATCCAGAGGGGGCCCAGCGGCAAGAACGGGTGACGAGCAGACGCGGAAAAGCCGGGAAAGGAGACGGCGGAGGGGGAGGAGGAACGAGGAGGACAAAAGCGCGCCCGGCGAGCGCGCGGGACAACGGCTGCCCAGGGCAGCCGCCGCGAAGCTGATTCCACCTAGTTAGCCCGGCGCCGCCGCACCCGTAGTCGGGGGGGCCCGGGCGCGCCGCCAAGCGCTGCCTCAAGACCCCGCGCCAGGCAGCCTCGGCGCCGCCGGCCCGCGCGGGCGGGAGCAGCATCAGCGCGGCCGCCTTCGGCGGCAGGGTGGGCACCCAGCCGGCGCACGGGCGACTCGCGAGGCGCGCCCAACCCGGGGCCCAGCAGCCGCAGCGCAGATAGGCGACCCATATTGGGCCCCTGCGACGCCGCGTGCGCCCTCCACGCCCCGCTACCAAAAAACGCCCGGGCAGCAGCCGCCGGCCCAGGCTGCGGCGCGACGCCCAAGCCCTCCTGCTGCTGCGGGTCCTGCCGCGCCAGCGCGGCGGCTGCGGCAGCGTCATCGGCCACGCGCTGCGCTCTGCGGCGCGGGGGCCCTCCCCGGGGGCGACGCACGCGGGGCCCCTCCGGGCCGCGGCTGCCATGGTTGGCCTTGACGGCCTCGAGCCCGACGGCGGCCAGCATCGGCACACACACACACACACCTTTCACACACTTCACACACATACACACAGACACACACACACACACACTTCACACCACACACACACACACACACACACACACACACACACACACACACACACACACACACACACACACACACACACACACACACACACACACACACACACACACACTTCACACACACACACACACACACACACACACACACACACACACACACACACACACACACACACACACAACACACACCACACACACACACGCACGCACGCACGCACGCACGCACGCACGCACGCACGCACGCACACACACACACACACACACACACACACACACACACACACACACACACACACACACACACACACACACACACACACACACACACACACACACACACACACACACACACACACACACACACGCACTTCACACGCTTTGTCGCCCCTGAGGGGGCTCCATCGAAGACTCCTGAAGCAGGGTTCGCGTGCGGCCCCCCGCCCATTTTGGCGCACCTCTCACACCGCGCGTGTCCCCACAGGGAATTCCACCGAAGGCTGCTGTGGCAGGGTTCGCATGCGTCCCTCCGCTCATGTCGGCACCCCCCTCACACGTTTCGTGGCCCCTCGCACGTTTCGTGGCCCCACGGGAGGCTCTTGCGGCAGGGTTCGCGTGCGTCCCCCCACCAATTTCGGCACATTTGTTTCACACTTGCTGTGGCCCGACACGGAGCTCCACCGAAGGTTTTTGTGGCTCTTGTGGCAGGGTTCGCATGCGTCCCCCCACATTCATGTCGGCACACCCCTCTCGCCGAGCGCGTTCCACTACTCGCAAAGTGCCTACTCGCAAACGTCCGAAAAACACCTGTCCGCTTTGACGTGGTTTATCGCAGATCCCCGGCGGGGGATCCAGGCCATATGCGAGTAGTGTTTTTTTGCGAGTGGTGGAACGCGCTCGTCGACCCTCACACGTTTCGTGGCCCGACACGGAACTCTACCGAAGGCTCTTGTGGCAGGGTTCGCAGGCGTCCCCCCGTCCACTTCGCTTCACTATACTCTTTTGTGCCCCCGACAGGGAGCTCCACGCAGGGCTCTTGTGGCAGGGCTCCCATGCGTTCCCCCCGCCCATGCCGTCCCCCCTCACACGTTTCGTGGCCCCGCTGGAAGATCCGCCATCCTTCGTCACACCTGATAGGCCTGTTTTCCACCACCACCACCATAAGTTGGAGGGGGGCAGGAGGTGGAAGATGAGGAGGAGGAGGAGGAGGAGGAGGAAAAGGAGGAGGAGGAGGAGGAGGAGGACCCCCTTCCCCCTCCTGCTCATGGTGGTGGCCTCGGAAAACAACAGGCGCACCGCCACCCGCCTTGCGGTGCCCACGCTCGTACATGGCGTGGGCCTTCGCCGGGGCAATTGTTGGCCGCGCGGCGGTGATGGTCGCCATCGCTCAGGCTTCCCCCTTGCAAGCGCTCAGCCTCCGCGCGGGCCCGGCGGGCGGGGAGTCGCGGGCTCTTGGCCGAGGCGGCGGGCTCCACACCGTCAACGTAGGAAACCATACACTATAGTAGTTAATCGATCTCTCTCTCTCTCTCTCTCTTTTGTTTTTTTCTCTCTCTCTCTCTCTCTCTCTCTCTCTCTCTCTCTCTCTATATATATATATGCACCGACGCGTTTCCCGACCCTGCGCGGAAATTCCCGCAAGAACGCGGATTGTTCGTTGTTTTTCCTTCGGGAGACGGGGGAAAAGTGTACACACCACCCCGACGCCGTCCCCGACCCTTAAAGAAGTCTTGAGATTGAAAAACGATCCGCCACTGGTAATGTATATGTTCCAGTTTGCGATATATACTTCTCCTGGGGTATTGCCAAACATTCCCAGAAACCTCGTAGAGAGCTAAAGAGGATTGCATATTCAGATGCCAGAGCTGCAGGGTAGCCCAGGAGCTCGGTCCGGCTTCCGGGACAAATCCCCGGCGCGCCTTGTCCGGCCTCGCAGCGTGTTCGGGCAGGCCTCGTCTAAGCGTTTCCCACT